AGCATTATTCGAGACGAAGTGGCAATCGCAAAACACGAGATCTTCATGAAGAAATACACGAAGTTTTAAATTCAGTAATTGATCAAGCGCATGTTCCTGTTGGCGAAAAAAATTGTACATATCGTAAAAGGGGAACAGCGATAAAAATGAAAAACGGAATAGAAAGGGATGAGTCATGATCTTGAACTCACATGAATTTACAATTATATTTTCGCTGTAGTTGGAAGAAAAGCAATAGTCCAGAGAATAACTCGACAAATGGATTATTTGTGAGGATTATTCCAGGTGGATCCAAGAAAGCTCTTTCGGTCGGGGGCAAGCAAAAGAAAAAATTAAAAGAGAAACCGGCATCGATGTATACATAAATATATATACGAAAAAAGATACATATCTTTATTGTACGTGGGATTAAAATAACTCAGCTCCCACAGCGGAACTTCCGAATAAACCCAACGTCGATTCCAATCTCCGGGAGAAAAATAAAATAAAATCTCGGCGGAAACGTGGATCTACGCCTGGGTTGGGACGAGTCAACAAACGGCGCTGGGTTCGCGGTTGACGAGAAGAACGACGAGAAACCCATACAGCGCAACCCAGCAGCTTTTCAGCAGTCCGCGATCAATTTCCTTCCTTCCAGCATCAACGACCTCTGGGTCGACGAAATTTCAGCTCCCCTTTCAAAATACTTCGTTCGTATTTCGTAGGTATTAAAATATAACTAGTCTCCAGAATGAAAAGCGAATCTTTCCTGCTTGAGAATGTGTTCGTTTTATTCTATGCCCTAGAACAATGGAGAGTTGGCACGAATATGCGAGAATATCCAAGGGCGCCGTAAAGCGGAGCTTTTCAGCCTTTCCTTTTTATTTAATTTAATCAAATTATGTTCCTTCGACGAGGAAAAATACATGCAAATTCACGAACCTCTTCCTAAATGCAAAAAATGCGCCAAATCAAAGACTTTCCCGGGTTTAAGACTCGAAGTCTAACTTATTGTGCCAATTTTGATTCCACGACAAAAGAGTTCACTTTTATTCAACATCTAACGGTTTAAGCCATCAACACTTTTTCTTCTTGATATGGTTTTGAATTTTTTTGTTTAGCATAAGAGTCCTCATCAAACATTCAGAGCTGAAACTCGTGATTTTCTTCAATTGATGATCCTTTCCTGGTATGAAATTTTGTCTCCACAAACTGCGAAGGGGTACAACAAAAATCGCGCGAAAAATCTACG